TATATATACACACAGTATATTACAATAAAAATGCTCCAAACAACAAAGGTCTCAACATTGCTCAGAGCAACTGGTTTAAAATGTAAAGATGTGACCTCAGTTCTTTGTTGCAGGGTCAGGGGAGCGGGGGTCTTACAGCAGATGGACAGTTTTAGGGAGGATTTGTGTGGGGTGTTGAGCCTCAAATAAAAAGGAACAAAAGAACAGCTGAGAGAAGCTCCAGCTGCTGTTCAGAATGTAACTCCCCAACAGACAACAGATGTGATATTAGTGCAATAAATTATATGTGCTGAGGCTTTATGTGGCGTTATATAMATATCTTAAATTAAGGAACAAGATCAGTATGTTACCAGTTTTTTTGTTTGATTGTCTCAAACAGTTTCTCATACTTACTAATCTAAAAGAAACTAGTAAGCAAAATAAAAGCAGCACTCATGAATAAGGAAATAGAAGATACAACAATCGTGTTAGAAAACAATAAACTATTTTAAAACCACCAAAAATTTATGCCAGAAACTAAGAAGTGGGTAAAGATAATAGATGGATAATAATTATGAAGGAAAACCCTGTAAAGAAAATAAAAAAGTGGGCGGAGCTTCAAGCACTCTCGCTCTCTGCAGCGTCTGTTGTTGCTTAGCTCAGCCGACGGGAAGCTATCATCGAACAGCTGCCGTGACGATGCTGCGTCGGTGGGACTGATACTCAGAGAGCTAACGCTAGCTCTGCTGACCTCTGTCCGGGTTCTGTTATCATCAGATCGACCCGGTTCAGCTGGGTTTCACACTGTGGTGGAGGACGGGCTTGATAGCCATGTAGCTCCATTAGCATGTTGCTAGCATCTTTTTAACATTGGGCTCATTAGCCGGGCTCTCCGGCTGCTAGCTTGCGTTGATTTACGTGTGTCAGAGTATTTCGTTGTATTATTCTTGTGTAGCTAATTAACATTTTTCACAACATGTGTTGTGTTGAAACAACGGTGCTTGTTCTCGGGGTAAAGCCTTTGATGAGCGTCCGTTTTTTGCTAACAAGCTAACAGGCAACGCTAGCTTTTAGCTGGAGCCATAACGGGGCTCTAGATGTCTTTGTTTCCAGCGGCGGCAGCAAGCTGCTTATGATGTGAAGAGCAGGTTGGCTGCGATCGTTAGCTCGGTTAGCTGGTAGGTTAGATCAGTGTAGATGCCAAGTTGACAGTTTTTATTGTGGTCAGCTGACATGCAGCGCTCAGTTCGGTGACCTTGAACTCATCTTCCACATCAGATTCATCAAAATAAGCCTCGCAGCTGCTTGATACATAAGGGTTATTATGGCCCTCAGATCAGACTGCAGGCAGAGTGTCGTCTACCTGCTCATCCTGACAGGTGAGTCCACCAGCTCTGAATCTCCTATTAAAACCTGGCCACAGCTTTATGTTATTTAGCCATTATTTTTGCTTTGTTTTCCTATGTTGGATAAAAAAATTATTTTGAGCAAATTTTAGATGTCACTCTGTTTTACAATATCTAAATGAAGGAGATATTTTTTTTGCACATTTTAAACCATAGTGGCACATTTAAGCATTACTCTTATTATGTAGTTTTATCCTATTGTTTAAAAGTTGTTCTTTATTATCACTGAAATATGATTTACAGTAACATAAATAACAGCATGTTGAAATGTTTAGAAATGATTTTTTAGACTTTCTCCTTCAACATACAGTAGGACATAATGAGCTTTAATTTACTAAATGAAAGCAGATTATACTATCCCATAATCCTCTATAGCGCAAACCTTTCTAATGATGCATTAAAGACATATGGTCAGATTATAAACACAAAATTCATCCATGAAAAAAAAAAGTTTAGTTATATGACTCTTATAGGTTGTTTTTTTTTTAACACTGGCCTTGTGTTTTTCCCAGGATGCATCGCTGCTTCTCAGAGAAATGACAACGTCTACGTGTCTGGATTTTCCAATGGTGAGTTTACGATCACGCGGGCGTCACAACTGTCATCACAGTTGCACCAGTCCTAACAGGAATGTTGCCCTTCTCCTCCCGCTCAGCTTGCGGTGACATGGCGGAGCTCCTGCGGGCGTCCAGCGGTGTCATCACCAGCCCCGGTTGGCCCTTTCAGTATCCAGCTAGACTGAACTGTAGCTGGAACATAAGAGCACGACCAGGAGACTCCATCACTATCAGGTAACACAAATTGTTCCCTGATCAATCAAAACACACAAAAATGTGTTAAGGTAGAAAGTTGGTCTCGAGACGTATATGTTTTGCATTATAATTAGTGTTTAATATGATTAAAAAGCTTAATGTCACTTTGTAAGTTACACCATGTCCACATATAAACATTAGCATTTCTTTGGCAGAATTCTTTTTGGATATTTGGCCTTTTCTTTTGGCAGATGTTGACACTTCACCTATTTTTGTTTGAGGTTAAGATTTTTAAGAATGTCTTTCTGAATGTCAGCCTGCCTTATTTTTTTTTCCACAACTTTGTTCAACTAATCTGCCCCAGAGAAACATTTTTTTATATCTCTGTCTTATAACTATGTATAATGTATTTTCTTGTGTCTTCCTACAGTTTCCAGGACTTTGACCTCCAGGGTTCCCATCACTGCACTTCAGACTGGATGTCCATCAGCAGCTACAGAAGCCTGGATGGCCTGCGGGTTTGTGGTTCGTCGCTTCCACCCCCTTACATCTCCTCCCAGGACCACGTCTGGATCCACTTCCACTCTGATGACACCCTGACGGGGAAAGGTTTCAGGATGTCCTACATCACCGGTAGGGATGATGTGTTCAATCTGTAAAGCTATGCTACGTTAGCTCACTGTCAGATTGTTTGCTGCAGTAATTTAAACCGACATTCCTTCTCTTAACCACTCTTTGATCAACAGGACTGGAGACTTTTGTGGTTGTTGCATAACAGACATGTAGAAAGCAGGCTGTAGAGATGCGATGATGTAATGCTGGATTAGAGTCTGATTGTAAATCCTCTAAACAAGGACTGAAGAGGAGAGGCTAGGAGGAGCACTGAAAGCTTTAACCCATTTAGTCAAATGTTTTCAAATGGCTGGTAGCCGTACGTAAAAACAAAAACCTTGTTTTAGGTAAACCAGAGGCGTCCAGCTGTGATGTGGACCAGTTCCACTGCTCCAATGGGAAGTGCATCCCAGACTGGTGGCGCTGTAACTCCATGGACGAGTGTGGCGACAACTCCGACGAGGAGCTGTGTGTGGATTCGCCGTTCTCCTTCCAGCCCTGTAATCTGAACCAGTTCCCCTGCTTGTCCCGTTACACCCGCATCTACACCTGCCTGCCGCACAGTCTGCGCTGCGACGGCAGCATCGACTGCCAGGTAAAAGTCTTTACCAGATTTTATGGAATACATTTAATTTAGTCTGTCAGAATTTCACACTTTTTTTATTTGTTAAAGTGTTTATTATTACTGGTTTAAATAATAAATTGTTTATTATTACCAGTTTAAATAACAAAGTGTTTATTATTACCAGTTTAAATAATAAAGTGTTTATTATTACCGGTTTAAATAATAAAGTGTTTATTATTACCAGTTTAAATAATAAAGTGTTTGTTATTACCGATTTAAATAATAAAGTGTTTGTTAGTACCGATTTAAATAATAAAGTGTTTATTATTACCGGTTTAAATAATAAAGTGTTTATTATTACCAGTTTAAATAATAAAGTGTTTGTTATTACCGGTTTAAATAATAAAGTTTTTATTATTACCAGTTTAAATAATAAAGTTTTTATTATTACCGGTTTAAATAATAAAGTTTTTATTATTACCAGTTTAAATAATAAAGTT